GGGCCCAGTTTTGCTCCAAAGAGTCAAATCGCAAGCCCTGGTCCTTAAGATTTTGGGCGCATTTTTTGCTCCAAAGAGTAGCATCGCAAGCCCTGGTCCCTAAGATTTTGGGACCAGTTTTTGCTCCAAAATGTCGAATCGCAAGCCCTGGTCCCTGAGAGTTTGGGTTCATGTTTTGCTTAAAAGAGTCAAATCGCAAGCCCTGGTCCATGAGAGTTTGGGTTCATGTTTTGCCCAAAAGAGTTAAATCGCAAGCCCTGGTCCTTAAGATTTTGGGTGTAATTTTTGCTCCAAAGAGTTAAATCGCAAGCCCTGGTCCCTAACAATGTGGGGCCTAGTTTTTGCTCCAAAGAGTCAAATCGCAAGCCCTGGTCCTTAAGATTTTGGGCGCATTTTTTGCTCCAAAAAGTAGCATCGCAAGCCCTGGTCCCTAAGATTTTGGGACCAGTTTTTGCTCTAAAATGTCAAATCGCAAGCCCTGGTCCCTGAGAGTTTGGGTTCATGTTTTGCTTAAAAGAGTCAAATCGCAAGCCCTGGTCCATGAGAGTTTGGGTTCATGTTTTGCCCAAAAGAGTTAAATCGCAAGCCCTGGTCCTTAAGATTTTGGGTCTAATTTTTGCTCCAAAGAGTCAAATCGCAAGCCCTGGTCCCTAACAATTTGGGGCCTAGTTTTTGCTCCAAAGAGTCAAATCGCAAGCCCTGGTCCTTAAGATTTTGGGCGCATTTTTTGCTCCAAAAAGTAGCATCGCAAGCCCTGGTCCCTGAGAGTTTGGGACCAGTTTTTGCTCCAAAATGTCAAATCGCAAGCCCTGGTCCATGAGAGTTTGGGTTCATGTTTTGCCCAAAAGAGTTAAATCGCAAGCCCTGGTCCTTAAGATTTTGGGTCTAATTTTTGCTCCAAAGAGTTAAATCGCAAGCCCTGGTCCCTAACAATTTGGGGCCTAGTTTTTGCTCCAAAGAGTCAAATCGCAAGCCCTGGTCCTTTTTGCTCCAAAAAGTAGCATCGCAAGCCCTGGTCCCTAAGATTTTGGGACCAGTTTTTGCTCCAAAATGTCAAATCGCAAGCCCTGGACCCTGAGAGTTTGGGTTCATGTTTTGCTTAAAAGAGTCAAATCGCAAGCCCTGGTCCATGAGAGTTTGGGTTCATGTTTTGCCCAAAAGAGTTAAATCGCAAGCCCTGGTCCTTAAGATTTTGGGTTTAATTTTTGCTCCAAAGAGTTAAATCGCAAGCCCTGGTCCCTAACAATTTGGGGCCTAGTTTTTGCTCCAAAGAGTCAAATCGCAAGCCCTGGTCCTTAAGATTTTGGGCGCATTTTTTGCTCCAAAAAGTAGCATCGCAAGCCCTGGTCCCTAAGATTTTGGGACCAGTTTTTGCTCCAAAATGTCAAATCGCAAGCCCTGGTCCCTGAGAGTTTGGGTTCATGTTTTGCTTAAAAGAGTCAAATCGCAAGCCCTGGTCCATGAGAGTTTGGGTTCATGTTTTGCCCAAAAGAGTTAAATCGCAAGCCCTGGTCCTTAAGATTTTGGGTCTAATTTTTGCTCCAAAGAGTTAAATCGCAAGCCCTGGTCCCTAACAATTTGGGGCCTAGTTTTTGCTCCAAAGAGTCAAATCGCAAGCCCTGGTCCTTAAGATTTTGGGTCTAATTTTTGCTCCAAAGAGTTAAATCGCAAGCCCTGGTCCCTAACAATTTGGGGCCTAGTTTTTGCTCCAAAGAGTCAAATCGCAAGCCCGGGTCCTTAAGATTTTGGGCGCAGTTTTTGCTCCAAAGAGTGGCCAAATTTTGCCCGGAAGCTGCCCGGCAAAATTTGGCCAAATCGAGCCGCGATAGTTTAAAAATCTCGGGCCTTCAGAAAGGCGCGGCTCGATTTGGCCAAATTTTGCCCGGAGGCTGCCCGGCAAAATTTGGCCAAATCGAGCCGCGCATTTCTCATCGCGTTTGACGAGCAGCCCGATTTGGCCAAATTTTGCCCGCAGACTGCCCGGCAAAATCTGGCCAAATCGAGCCGCGCCTTTCTGGAGGCCCGAAATTATTTAAACTATCGCGGCTCGATTTGGCCAAATTTTGCCGGGAAGTCTGCGGGCAAAAAATTTGGCCAAATCGGGCTGCTCGTCGTACGCGCTGAGAAATGCGCGGCTCGATTTGGCCAAATTTTGCCGGGCAGCCTCCGGGCAAAATTTGGCCAAATCGAGCCGCGCATTTCTCATGGCATACGAAGAGCAGCCCGATTTGGCCAAACTTTGCCCGCAGGCTGCCCGGCAAAATTTGGCCAAATCGAGCCCTGGTCCCTAAGATTTGGGGCACAGTTTTTGCTCCAAAGAGTCAAATCGCAAGCCCTGGTCCTGAAGATTTTGGGCGAGTTTTTTACTCCAAAGAGTAGCATCGCAAGCCCTGGTCCCTAAGATTTTGGGCCCAGTTTTTGCTCCAAAAGGTCAAATCGCAAGCCCTGGTCCCCATGATTTGGGGTCCAGTTTTTGCCCAGAATAGTTAAACCGCAAGCTTTGGCCCTTAAGTTTTTAAGCTCTTTTTTTGCTGCAAGGATTCAAATCACAAGCCATGGTCCTTAAGATTTCGGAGCTCAACGCTTCATCATTCTACTCACTAGTCTTATTTCATCGTCCCGCACACCTACCTGCACACTTCCTCTACTCCATATTGTAGCACACAATCGCTTGATATTACACCCCCCTATTCGCGCGCCTCTCTCTTAAGGTGAAGCTGCGAATTAAAAGTTATCATAATTATGATAACTCAGGGGTGGGACCCTAAGGAGTTATCATAATTATGATAACTCCAGTTGGTGACTCTAAAGTTATCATAATTATGATAACTCAGGTTTGGGAACCTAAAGTTATCATAATTATGATAACTCAGGTTTGGGAACCTAAGGTTATCATAATTATGATAACTCAGGTTTGGGAACCTAAGGTTATCATAATTATGATAACTCAGGTTTGGGAACCTAAAGTTATCATAATTATGATAACTCAGGCTTGGGAACCTAAGGTTATCATAATCATGATAACTCAGACTGGGGACCTTAAAGCTATCATAATTATGATGACTCAGGTTTGGGAACCTAAAGTTATCATAATCATGATAACTCAGGTTTGGGAACCTAAAGTTATCATAATTATGATAACTCAGATTATGGACACTTTAATTAATTTAATTAATCTAACTAATTCGATTAATTCAATTAATCCAATTAATTGAATTAATTGAATTAATTGAATTAATTGAATTAGCGAAAGAGGTTTTTCGAATTCAATTAATTCAATTAATTCAATTAATTCAATTATGTGGGGTTCCCTAATCGAGATCCGGATTTCCCGCGTATTGAATTAATTCAATTAATTCAATTAATTGAATTAATTGAATTAATTGAATTAATTGAATTAATTGAATTAGCGAAAGATGCTTTTCGAATTCAATTAATTCAATTAATCCAATTAATTGAATTAATTGAATTAATTGAATTAATTGAATTAGCGAAAGATGCTTTTCGAATTCAATTAATTCAATTAATCCAATTAATTGAATTAATTGAATTAATTGAATTAATTGAATTAATTGAATTAATTCAATAGAGGGAAAATCTTTGTTTTAAAAAAAAAAACAGATAATTGAATTAATTAAATTAATTGAATTAGCGAAAGATGCTTTTCGAATTCAATTAATTCAATTAATCCAATTAATTGAATTAATTGAATTAATTGAATAAGCGAAAGAGGTTTTTCGAATTCAATTAATTCAATTAATTCAATTATGTGGGGTTCCCTAATCGAAATCCGGATTTCCCGCGTATTGAATTAATTCAATTAATTCAATTAATTCAATTAATTCAATTAATTCAATTAATTCAATTAATTCAATTAATTGAATTAATTGAATTAGCGAAAGATGCTTTTCGAATTCAATTAATTCAATTAATCCAATTAATTGAATTAATTGAATTAATTGAATTAGCGAAAGATGCTTTTCGAATTCAATTAATTCAATTAATCCAATTAATTGAATTAATTGAATTAATTGAATTAAATGAATTAATTGAATTAATTGAATTAATTGAATTAATTCAATAGAGGGAAAATCTTTGTTTAAAAAAAAAAAAACAGATAATTGAATTAATTGAATTAATTGAATTAGCGAAAGATGCTTTTCGAATTCAATTAATTCAATTAATCCAATTAATTGAATTAATTGAATTAATTCAATTAATTGAATTAATTGAATTAGCGAAAGAGGTTTTTCGAATTCAATTAATTCAATTAATTCAATTATGTGGGGTTCCCTAATCGAAATCCGGATTTCCCGCGTATTGAATTAATTCAATCAATTCAAATAATTCAATTAATTCAATTAATTGAATTAATTGAATTAATTGAATTAATTGAATTAATTGAATTAGCGAAAGATGCTTTTCGAATTCAATTAATTCAATTAATCCAATTAATTGAATTAATTGAATTAATTGAATTAGCGAAAGATGCTTTTCGAATTCAATTAATTCAATTAATCCAATTAATTCAATTAATTCAATTAATTGGATTAATTGAATTAATTGAATTAATTCAATAGAGGGAAAATCTTTGTTTTTTAAAAAAAACAGATAATTGAATTAATTGAATTAATTGAATTAGCGAAAGATGCTTTTCGAATTCAATTAATTCAATTAATCCAATTAATTGAATTAATTGAATTAATTGAATTAGCGAAAGAGGTTTTTCGAATTCAATTAATTCAATTAATCCAATTAATTGAATTAATTAAATTAATTGAATTCGCAAAAGAAATTTGTTGATTTCTATTAATTCAATTAATTAAATTAATTAAATTAATTAAATTAATTAAATTAATTAAATTAATTAAATTAATTAAATTAATTAAATTAATTAAATAGAAGGCAAGGAAGAGGATACGCAAAATAGACCCGAAAGGGCTCTCTCACATATATATATACATATATATGGCAGCTTCCTCCGGTGATTCCACAGCTTCTCACGCCTGCGAGCCGCCAAGGGCCGAGGTTGCCCCAGTAGTTGGGCCACCTAAGAGGAACACAAGTTGGGATGTTCACCCCCTTTATACTGACAGGGAGTAGGGACTGCAGTAACCCCCTATGAGAATCCCTATTTAGGGCTGTTAGTATCGGGACTATCGTACCCCCTAGTAGAGTCCCTATGAAGGACTGTTAGGATAGGGGGGAGCATCCCAATCAAGTTCTGAAGGGCTCTATATGGGATTACAAATTCGCATGTGTTTACACATATGTAGCAGCAGTCTCTGTAACCATCATAAGGGAACTCAAGATAGTACCAGTACTTTTAGCAACAGAGGGAGTGACAAAGACAATGATATGTGAATATGCAGTTTTTGTGAGCTCTGTGGCTACAGGCTGCTTCAGCTTCGAGTCACCAAGGAGGCCCTAGGGTATCAAGAGGTCTGGATTTCGATTGTAGCAGCCTGGACGCTTCGATGCAAGCTCGGAAGCATTCAACTTGCACAACATGGCAACAACGGGTCCAAACAGGCTTCAACCACGATCTTGAACCCAAATTAAACGCTGCATACCCAAAAACCCGAAAGTGCCAACGTTGCAGCTGCACGGCCGTGTGTTGTCACCTCGCACCAGTGCAACGAAGCAGTCGGGACCAGCGCGGAAAGCAAAGCGTCCTAGTCCTGGAACGTCCGGAAGTGGTAAGGAGTCTGGGTTGAGGGCTTGGGGCTTTATGACGTTCACGGATGTTTAGGCCCAAGCTTAAGGTGTTCTGGCGAGGTTGGGGCGTTTGAGGGCCCATCATGCTGCTCTTGGTTCCTTCCCCAAGTCTCAGGATCGGTCCTGGGGTATGTCTGGGATATGGGGGTTCGGACTTTTGGGGGTGTACGAAAAGAGGGGGCCCCCAATGTCCCGCGGCATGATTGCCTTAGAATAAGGAGCCCAGTCAGGTCCCCCCCGAATTTAGGAAACCCCCAAAACATGATTCGGTTTGAAAGATGGGTCCAGGAAGTCTACATAGGTCACAGGGCTCCAGAATCGGCTCGATGAGAACTTGACAGGTTTAGGGTTTAGGGTTTAGGGTTCAGGGTTTAGGGCTTAGGGTTTCGGGTTTAGCTTGTACCGGCCGCACAAGAATTGCACAAGAGTGCCACAAGCTCCTTATATGCTTAGCCCGCGCCTACAGATGGAATGCTCGACTCCGACCACGTCTGCGTAACGGGAAGCCCGCGACAAGCCTGAAGCAGAAGGGGCTCTTTGTGGCGCTAGGAAGGCTTGAAAAGTTGGGCTCTTTGCGCTCGTTGCACGCTTTTAGGATCGAGTGTCTGGAGGGTCTGCTTAAGAGGCGACCGAGGCCGCCAGGACACCCAAAGGAATGAAATGAGCGCAAGACGCCCCAATCATTCACTGTACTCTGTACTCTTCCTCCGCACCGCAAGTCCACTCCTGCAGAAGCCTCCAGGGCACGGAGCCCTAGCCAATGGTCGGATAGAAGCCCTAGTGAAAGGCAACAGTAAGAACAAGAAAAACCCCGGAATCATTGAGACAAGAACAGGGCCTGCCCTGTCTACGGCATTCGGACTCCTCTTCCCTGCGATATCCCAGATCCTCCCCCGAATCAACTGCCGAGAAGCCTTGAAGAATGGCCCCAGGGAGCCCACTACCCCTTCATCAAACAACCCCCTCAAGTCCTACCAGGATGGCTTGTTGCAATGTAAGGTATATGCCTTGCAATGTAAGGTATATGCCTTGGTTCAGGGAACCCAGCTGCCTTGCGGAAGCCCACAAGGCCGGCGATACCCTCCCAGCGGTGCTCACAGACCCAGCCCTGAGGGGCGAGAGTTCTTCGTTGGGGGTTTAAGGTTTTTAGGTTGCAGGGTTTAGGGTTTCGGGTCTCTTGGGTTTTAGGGTTTAGGGTTTAGGGTTTTAGGGTTTCTAGGCTTTGGGGTTTCCGAGTTTAGGGCAGTAGGGGCAGAATCTCAAGAGGGAGACTGCTTTCGCATGTTGGCGGGTGGGCCGCGGTTCACACCCCGGACCTCGTAGTCGGTTGCCAATGGGGATGTCGTGGGCGTCGGCATGCCTGAAAACATCTTGGGGTGTCCAAAAATAGGGGTACCCTTTTACTTTTTGGGGGGTCCCTGTAAGGGGGTTCTTTTCTGTTGCAGTTTGGGGTACAAAAGGGGTACCCTTGGATGCAAAGGTGCAAAGGTTGCAGGCGACACGTTGAAAAAGATCTGCCTGTGCTGCTTCAAGCCTCACGAAACGCGCTTGAGGCAATCTGTGAGAGACTCGTGTTCTTGGAAGCCGTTCATTGAGCCCAGGTTCAAAAAAACTGCCAGGAAGACTCAGGAATTCAGTGCGAAAGAGATTTGCCTTGGGTCATTGGCAGACTACCGCCAACTCTAACCCAACATTATACACATAAAAGTCTGGGAGATTCCAAGGAGAGTGAGGAGGCAGACCTCTTAGCCCAAGGTGCAGCGAGGCTCGGCATCATTGAACATGTACACGGGAAATGGCTGGCATCGGCCGTTCCCACCTTGGCTTGTTGGCTTGCATGACTCCCATTCACTTACTGCAGAATCCCATAAAATGCTTGCAACCATGTCGCAGTTTCCAGGGGGTCCCGCATCCATGTCCGTGAAGGTGTAGCCGCCAAAGAGGCGCCTTTGCTCCCGAGCGCTTTTGGGTTGACTGCACATGCCCGACATGTCCACGATGCTTCCAAGGAGGAGGTTCTATCAAGCATTCGAAGCTGAGACATCGCATCCGCGAGCTATCAAGGGTTTAGGGTTTAGGGTTTAGGGTTTAGGGTTTAGGGTTTAGGGTTTAGGGTTTAGGGTTTAGGGTTTAGGGTTTAGGGTTCTGGGCCCTGGATTTCGAGCGCCTCCACCAGCCCATGACAAAATGATTGCAAGCCTGGCACACGCCAACCGCCTCCGGCCAGGCGAGCATGAACTTCTGCTGCTGATGAAACTCCTAGGCTCAGGCGGCTCATCATGCGGCTGCCCGTTGAAGCATCCACGTTGGTGGATTCAAGCCCCCTTTTGTGCATCTCCAGCTCACAGAACGCTCCGAAAACTTAGACCGAACATGACCGAACGAGGGTCCAAGCCGTTCTTGAAGGTCGGGACGAAGCGATCAGCCTCGAAAGTCCTGCGCTGCGCAAGTCACAGGCTTGGGGCTCGACACGTTCGCCTGATGAGGTGTGGAGCGGGCTCTCTGCTGGTGATCATGAACGCTCCAGCCGCTACGGTGGGCCTGCACTGGCCTACACCGCCTAGAAGATGTAGGGCCACGGAAGGGCAGCAGGGAAGTCTTCACTCCAACTCCCGTGCTTAGGACGGGCCTCTGGTCGTGGAAGGTCAGCGGGTAGACGGCGCGCTCTGGGGGGATGCCATCGATGCCGTGGCTAATGTTCAAGAGCTCCTCAAGAGAACGAAAGCATCCCAGGTCGTTCCAAGGGGAGAGGCAATGTGAGGGAATGCTAGCTTAGAGACTCCCGACTGGGCTGCGGAATCTCCATGAATCTTGTCAGCCACAAAAGCTTGGAGCTTCAGAAAGAAGCCCTTCCGAAAGACAGAATTGCAAGAGAGGAGGGGGACGCCCAAAGACGACTCCCACAAAACTTCCCTCTCCGGCATGTACTTGGCGTCGCCCACGCCCAGGGCATTGGTGATCCTCAGAGTTCACACTTGAGCCCTCATAGGCTCGCAGGATTTTGTGCAACGCAGAAGACGTTCTGGGTTGCTGTTTTTGCTTGCTCCAATCCGCGAACTAGCCTTTTTCAGAGGCTTTGGAAGATTCGGGGCATGCTACCACAAGGCGCCTTCAGAAGAACTCGCAACTGGCATGCAGAATCCGGAACTTTGGAGCCTTTTCCGGCTACCGCTAGCGGCGGCCCACCATAGGAAACAGCCGCAGAGGATACCATGGCCTGATTAGACGGCCTGCCACGGAGGCCGTGACCAAGCATTTAACCGCTGGCGGGGCACAGCAACGTTCTTTCAGACTTTCGTTTAGGCCTTGCTATTTGACGACTTCCTTTCTGAGGGTTGCATGTTCACCGCAGCTGAGCATCTTCAGCCCATACTTCTGATCCCGGTAGTGCCCGACGGCCACGCTCCTCGCACCGAGCAGGCTTCGTTGAGGTTTCGCTGATGAAACCCACCTGACAACCCATGTTGGCGGGACACCTAATACGAGCTGCCCAGCTGCAATATGAGTCTGCACCTGATCTATTCCATGCTCAGTGTAGGGTTAAGGGATGTCAATACATGCTGCAGCATGGGCTGCACTCAGGCCAAGCAGTCTCCTCTCTTCGAGAGGCACGCCGCCCCACCACTCCTGGTACCTGGCCCATTCCAAGCAACGACTCGCTTTACCGGCTCGCGTCCGTGTATAGCCTGCTGAGCAAGGCCTCGCAACCCCCACAACTTTGCTGGCTACCTCACTCCATCTCCGAACAAGAACTTGCGCCAGAGAAATCAAGCGCTTCTGTGCCGAGGTGCACCAAGTCCCAGGGCAGCTGATTGATGATCCTCGGACGCCCCCACTGGCCGGAGTTACACCAACACATGGGGGGATTTCGGCTCAGGCCTTCCAAGCTTCCCAAAAAAGGGGTACCCCGATTTTCCACCCCAAGTAGAACAGAATCCCCTTAAAGGGACCCCCCAAAAAAAGGTGTAAACCCCTGTTTTCAGAAACCGCCATGTGGAGCAGGTCACACGTCAGCCAGGAGAGACTCGTTAAGGGCCCAAAAGAGCTTCTCTGCAGGCAGCCGCCTTTGTTGCCCGGTTCTTTTGTCTAAGCCCAAGGTTCGCTGCCAAATCCTCCGTGGAGACGTAGCCTGGGCTGCGTGGGAGCTGTGGGGAGCTGTCGGGAGCCCTGTTTGACCAGCCGCCGGACGCACAAGAAGCCGAAGGGCTTGCTGCATCGAGGCGGAGCATTGTTACACCCAGATCGTGCAACTCCTCGGCTGAAAAGGGCACGAAGAGGGGGGACTCCCCGGACTGACACGAACCAGAACTCACCTCGCCCAATATTCCCTTACCACGTCTTGCCCCAAGGCTCCGTGAGATGCTTCACCAGGATGTCGCGCCTTCGGGGCAACGAGCGGGCAGAACCCCCTACTGCCACTAGCCCCTTGGAGGTCTTGCTCTTCTGCAGTTTTTGCTCTCAAGGTCGGTGTCGAAGTTAAGAGGGGGGGGGGGGTTGGGAATCCACAGGCTGCTCGGAGCAAGGAGCTGCTGGCCTAGTCTTTCCAGCCCCCTGCTTGCGTCGTCAGCATAAAAGGTCACCCAGACTTACGAGCCTGGCTCCGATGTCTTGACGACCTGAGCCTTCTTCGATTTGAGCTGAGGTGCGTGGGCTGCAGACCCGTGTTCCAGTCCTAGGCTCTCTTGGCTCGGCGAATGCTCTTTCTGCAAAAAATGGAAGTTGCATCAGACCAAGCGTCAGGGAGGCCTTTGAAGTCGCATTGCGTGCAGTCACCAGGAGGGTCACCTTAGGCTGGGCATTAGAGCGTACTCGAAGATCAGCATATCTTGAGAGAACTTGAGTGCTTGCTGAGTCAGCTTGCAGTGAGTCCTACTGGACTACTGCTTTGCGAGATGGGCTCACAAAAACACATACCATCGCGTCTCAGGCACTCTGCGGACACGTGAAGCTGGGCTCCTCAACAGGGCAGTTGCCCAGGAGGTTGCCGTCAATGGCCTCAGCACCAGGGTACCAGGATTGCCAAGTGCTCCCTCTCCAACTCCAACCCCGTCATCCACAACATCCTTCAAACCCTAAACCCTAAACCCTAAACCCTAAACCCTAAACCCCGGCCTGGCGGTTGTGGAAAAGCTCGGGGCCCTTCCAGCCATCCTCCAGGCGCTGGACTGAAAGGGAAGGTAGGGGTCGAAGAGCAGCGATCAGTCTTAGGCTGCCTTTAGGGTTTAGGGTTTAAGGTTTAGGGTTTAAGGTTTAGGGTTTAGGGTTTAGGGCTTAGGGTTTAGGGTTTAGGGTTTAGGGTTTAGGTTTAGGGCTTTGAGCCAGCATGATCAGAATTCTGATGGGGGATAGGGGCAAGGGGATGCCAAAAGTGGAGGGTGGCTCTTTGCCTTCCAGGAAGTTCTTGCATTAGTCCACCAACCTAAGCGAACACCGCCCAGGCAACCACGACGAGCCTGAACCCCAAACCTATAACCCGTAAACGGTGCGAGAACCCCTGAACCCAAAAACATCCTCCAACCCACAAAACCCTACAAAACCCTGTAAAGCCCTACAACCTCCGAGAAAGAAGGGTGGAAGGGGGGGAGGGGGGAAAAAAAAAGGAGGGGCGCCTGGGAGTTGATCCTCCGGTTCCCGTAGGGCGAGCCGGCCCATCCCTGCATCCGTCAATCTCTTTGTGTTTGCGCGGGCGCGCGGCCCTCTTCTTAGGGGGGTGCAGGGGTTTAGGGAGGACTTCACAGGCTTCTAAGCTGAGGCTCTCCAAGACTTTCCGTTTAGATGTCTCGCTCGCTGCATGGGATTTAGGGCTGTAGGGCTTAGGGTTTAGGGGAAGTTCGCTGCGAAGCAACTTCGCATAAGTGCTCGCAGAGCGCAGTGCAAGTCCGACACTTTTTCGAAAGGTCCAGTGGAAACCCCGAAGCCCCAACACGAGACTAGAGATTCTGCCCCCGAAAGTGCAGAGCACCCCTGAATCCGAAACAATGTTTCAGTGAAACAGCCTCCAAACCTTTAAACCCAACCCCCCCATCTCGACCCCGACAAGGGGTTGGGTTTGCTTGTAACCCCAAACCCCCAAACCCAACCCGCCCCATCTTGACCGGGGTTTGCTTGAAATACAGGCCCAAATCCCTACACCAAAAGGCTCAAACCCCTAAACCCAACCCCCCCCCCCCTCCTAGACCTGTGCTTGAAATACAGCCCCAAACGTCGAAACCAAACCCCTTCCATCGGTACCCCCGAGTTCAACCCCCCCATCTGCACCCCGAGAAGGGGGTTGGGCCAACCCATGAAAATACAGCCCCAAACCCCCAAACCCAAAACCCCCTCCTCGACCCCCCCAAAGGCTGGTCGTCTGCGATGTCAAACTCGCATATCCCGAGGTCCCTAAGCCCTCTATCCGAAACCCCCAACAGTCCTTGCAGGGCATCACGACCGCACCGCCTGCCTGCACAAAAAAAAACACCACTTTCACTCCAAACGGGGTCTGCGTCATGAGCTCAACAAGCCATTGATCACAAAGGACAATGCAGGACCTGTGATTCATGCCAATCTGCATGAATCTATCTGCATGAATATGTTTCTGTATCGTGAAGACTTCGTGACTTCGTTCGGAGGTTTGCAGAATGGTGTGTGGGCACACTCCAAGCCCCAACGCTGACTCCTAGAAGTCCGCCCTCCAACTTTCCTCCCAGTCCCCAGAACTCAGTAGCATCCTAAATGACAACAAGTATCCACAAACCCTCGAGGTTACAAACTTCAGCAAGGAGCCTCCTCCAGGTATGCAGCAGCACGCACACAAGACCCCAACCAAAGAAACTTACCAATCTTCCTGTGCGAAGAGACCAGTTCTGAGAATTGTGCCTCGATGGCAGCCTGGCATGGCGCGGCGACGTGGTTGAGAATCACATCCACGATGACCTGTTGGGATCTAATTTGGGATGTTCCCCCTCAAACAAAAAGTCCTTCACATGGAATATAGTACCCCCGATTATAAGCCCCTATAAAAAAACTGCTAGTATAAGGGGGGAACATCCCAAGATCTCATGGTTTCGAGAAGGGAGGCACAGGTTCTCCCTTGCTAGTGCAGATTTGCGTTCGCGAGCTCAGGCGTTTAGGAGGTGCAGGTTTCAGGGAGAAAAGGCGACATGAGATCGACTTGCTTCTGGGTGCCCCACTCAGCATCCCCCCCCCCCCCCCCCACTGTCAGCGACACTGTTGAGAGAACCCTCGTGCCTGAACCCCAGCAGCGCGGCACTTCGCGACCATCTCTTTGAACTGGCCCTGCACCAAGCTGACATGCGCAAGATGAGCAAGCAGCACAACAGCACGAAAAAAGTCCGACTCGACAATCACGCAGACAAACGATACAAAGAACATACACCCAACAAAAAAGGCAAAACAGTGCTCCGAGACTTCCGAGACTTGCAGGATCCTGAACTTTGCTCCCCGCACCCCTTCCCGTAAATGCTACGAGGGCCCCGTTGAAGAAGCAAAAGCATTGACACCTGAGCACGGCCTGAATGAAACTTCCAAAGCTTTTTTTCCCAAAGAACTGGGGCCCCCTGGGAGCTTCGACTGAACTCTCTCTCTCTTTGAACCCCGTGAAGGCCCCCCCCCCCCAATCAACATCGCTTTCATGGCCTCACTGCCCGAGCGGGAGTTGAGGCCGAAGCCAATGGGCTGGTACTTGGTAAACCACTCCTTGCAGCGTTCGCCGTGCGCGAGACATGTAGGGAATTTCGCGGCTTGGGAGGGTTTTTGGTTTGGGGTTTGGGGTCACCCTCATATGGCTTCCGTGGGTTCCGCACATCACCAGAAGCTTCTACAGATCAGTGAGTGCGAGAGAGCGTGCGAGACGGCGCGAAGGCTTTGGCCATGAGCCAAGCAAGCGGAAGACTGATCAAGAGCCGAGAAAAGGGCTTAGGGCTTAGGGTTTAGGGTTTCGGGTTTAGGGTTTAGGGTTAGGGTTCTCTGCGTTCTGCAAGTATCCGACCCGAGGATATGCTCGGTCACGGGTGAGACCTGCACCGCATCGAAGCCATTGGGGCCAAGGTAGTTCGCGCACTCCTGGAACTGGGCGAAGTCTGCGTTTGACTCTGTACATTCCCAGGGAAGCTTCGGCCTTCCTTCCTCTACCAGGGAAGCTGCACGCGCAAGCACGAGCCCGGGCACGGCGACTCTTTTCATGGGCATGTCACACTCCACACTGGTCACACTCTGCACTGAGTGCACCGGCATGACTCTAAAAAAAAACCAAACATGGCTTCTCTGCGCCCGCAAGACATCGGCGTAGACCGGCTCGCCCACTTCAGAAAGTCGGTGTTGCCTCAATGGCCCCAAAAACCCTATGCCTAGCCTTGAACTCTGAGCTCAGAAAAACCGGCCCACAGCCGAAGTCTACTCTACTCAGAAGCACTTCTTGCTCTTTAGAGCTACTGCTTTGAGAGCTCCTTGGGAGCGCCTCTTAGTGCATGTTGCGCACACGGAAGGAGAACTATTGGTATTGCATCGTTCGATGCTTTTGTCATTTGTGTCCAAAGTCAATGTAGAAAATCAGAACGCCTGTTCCACGTAAGAGCTACGGCTTCTTTCTCCATCTTCTTCCTCCTGCTCTTCTTCCCAAAGCCAGCTCTTGGGTCGATTCAGCCAGCTGTCAGAAGGAGGACGGGAAAAGTCTTCGGGGGAGACGCTCTTCGTCTCAGTTCCCAACCGGCCCAACCTTCTGCAAATCTGGCTGATCTGTCGATCAAGCAGCCAGCTGGGACCGGCTGGTGTCAAGGGCACCGCCAAGGAGGAACAAAGGCCCTGGTAGGTGGCGCTGATCTCGTGCGGGTTTCCACGCAGCCCTAGCTCTCCATCCCGGATCCGGCGGTAGAAATCGTGGGTCGGGAATTCGAAGGACCCATCGTTGACAAGGAGCCTCGTCAAGGTCCCTGGAATGGCCAGGACCAGCTCTGAGAAAGCTTCATCCTCCAAGCTGCCCTTTCCAAGGACAATGATCCCCGAGGAGGCTCGGTGAGCTGCCTTGATCTCCTCGGCCCGAAACACGTGGCAGACCCTTTCTTGCAGCTGGTACTGCATCAGCTGCTGGATCACGAGGCTGGTGGACATCGACTGCGTGCTGGTGCTGGAGGCGACCAGCACGCGCGCCTTGCTCACCTCGCCTTCACCAGCAGCCCTCTCCAGAGTCGAAAAGTCATCTGGCTTGGCACCCAGTTTCCCGAGAATAGCTCCCATGACCATGTGTGCTACCGCTTCCTGTTCTGCACCAGGTGCTGTCCGGGAAAGCTGAAAATGTTCCAGCCGATTGAGGTAAGCCAGGGCCGCCTGAACCTCCGCCCGTCCAACTCCATGAGCAATAAGCAGCTGAAATTCGTTTGCGGGCCAACTAGACTCAATTTGGTTCACATCGAGATACTCTGGTATCTTATGCCCATCACAGCACAAGGCAAAAATTGGGAGACCGCAGTGGAATGCCATGGAAAGTTCTCCAACACACCACACGCTTTGAATGAAGCCGGGCGTTAAAACTGCCAGGAAGCTCTCAGTCCTGGTCCGAACTGTTTCGAAAAGATCTCCCAAATTCAGGAGGTCATCCGAGTCGTAGAAGACTTTGGTTCGAGCATGCTTTGCCATCACAATCTTCAGGTAACGGCAGAAGATGCCCGCCGAAGCCTTCTGGTGGGAGATGAAAGTGGTGTATCGATTCTGCTTCCCCGCCCGGAAATATAAAGCCAGAATGGCTGCAAGGCAGATGCTGGCGGGCAGCAAAACCAGCACGATGGACATGCCAACAGTCAAGACGTACTCGCTGCGATCTCCGATCTGAACCTCGAGGTTCAGAGGTGCAGCCAAGCTGAGAAGCAGCGCGACACCTCCCTGCAGAAGCAAATCGCTCCAGTTCGCGACTTCAATCCTCCAGGGCCACAGCAGGCAATGCAGCGCATTCCGTGCCCACAGGACAAAGCTCATAATGCCAACTTGAAGTGCGGGAAACGACGCGAAGCATCCCGGGATGCAGCCCACAAGCAGATTGCCTATGCTGAGCAGCACACAGTAGTAGTATCGCTCTGGCCGGAACTTACCGAACAAGAAGCGGTACTTCTCAACCGTGTTGATGCCGCTGGCTGATAGTAGCCAGGTTGGGTAGTACCACGTGAGATATAGGAGCCACGCCAGGATGCTGACGGGATATGCCAGAATGCCAATGAAGGAGATCCCTACGAGCATGGCGTGGCTGTTGGACTCCCAGCACAACACGTGTGCATACTCAAAGATGGTGAACTTGCCATTGGGGTTTTCCCGGCACTCGAACGGCTTGAAGCACATCAGCGTGATGGCTGTGAGTAACGAGACAAACAACAAGGCCCAGATGTTGAACACGATGCGGAACTTGAATGGACGGCGGAGCATCCGAGCCAGTATCCCAGGCAGCAGGGAGGCGAGCACAAAAGTGGGCAAGGCCATCAACTGAAAGGCATATGTGGCAATCGGATTGCTTTCCGGAACGTAGCACGGCAGGCCCAGAATATCGAAATCAATCGAAATGAAAGACAACGCAGCCAACAGCGACTTCGCAGGGTCCAGCCACTTGATCTCAAGTTGACGAATGATGCGCAGGGACTGCATGCCGTACACGCCCTGCGCAGCGAATGTAACAGCGATCGCCAAGCTGGCTGCAACTGTTGGTGCTGCAGATGAATAACGTGATTGGCATTTGCACAGAACACTGCACAGGAAAGGCAAGAATGTGAGTACCACGACCAACATGGGCAGAAGAAGCAGCAAGCCGCCATCACATGGCTTGCAGTCACCCATGGCTGCCTGATGATGACCTGGCAAACATGCTGCGCAGGCAAGTCCAACGCGGTTTCCGGCGCAGGTTCCAGGAACGCCTGGCCAAGCGCTCACATCAGCTTGATCTGTTTTTTCCATTCCCCTACGCGCTAAGCATCAAGTCTATCTAGTGCGGTGAAGATCACATTTGCAGGAAAACGTGGGATCAAGTACATGTCAACGTCTCCCACCTGCGGGACACTGGAGATCGCTGTAGCAAGCGAATACGGAAAGCTGCATCTTGCCATTTCGCATCTCCTGCAATTCCAGGCTGCTCTGGTTGAGGGTTTGGGTTTAGGTTGTAGGGCTCAGGGTTGGGTACAGGAATTACGGCTCTTACCCACTTCGATTCACTCCTGCATCGCCCAATAGCCCTGTTGCTGTTGTGGTGGGGCCAGACCGCCCAGGCACTTCCTTACACGGTTTAGGGTTTAGGGCCAGTTTAGCGTTTAGGGCTTGGGGTTTAGGGCTTAGGCTTAGGGTTTAGGGCCTCAGGGGTCTGCAGGGCTAAATATGGGTTTGGGGTTTCGGGTTTTTGGCGGGGTTGCTGAGTCAAAGTTGTCCAGCGACCGGCCTGGTTGGACTTTCCTGATTGCGAACACTACAACCCAAGAACCCAAGAACCCAACAAGAATCGAAAGTGTTTCTCAGCTCAGCTGAGGCTACATGCCCAGTGAACAGGGATGGCACCCAGTAAAGTTCTCGTCTTGCTGCCACCATGAGCCGCTTTCACACTCGCAGTGGCTGCGCTGGCTGGCGCCGAGCAGGCGCGTCGTCTCAAACTGGCCGCAAGGACCTGAACATTGACATCGGACACCCAGCCCCTCACTGTTAGCAAATGTCCTGACGGCTTTCCATCTTTGTTTGGGATCCCAAAACCAAGCCCCCCTCACCCCAGCCACCCTGCAATGGTTCAGCTCAGGCGCGACAAGCAGCACTTGCTTCTCGATCTTGATACTCCCCTTGCCCACACTTCTGGCACAAAGTGGAGCCGCTCTCGTCCGAAAAGGTCCCAGGGGCGCATGGAGTACAGCTCACAGCCGCGTGTGCACTCTGGCTAAATCCTGGTTGACATACGCGACACTCAGCCGTGTCCCCGATGTCGTCCCCAATCAGAGCAGAATATCTCCCTGGCGGGCATGCTTGGCAGGTCGAAGCATTCTCGCGGGCTTGGACGAAGGACTCTGCAATTGCAGAGAACATGCCCTGGCCTGGCAAGCAGCTCGTTTTCACTGGCACCCAGCTTCTCCAGACATCTTCATGCTGCTTGATCCACTCGCAGGCCACATCGCGCAGACCACTCCAATCTTTTCCACTAGAATTGGCCAGAAGCTCATTCATCTCCTCGGACCCAAACCACATCTTCTTCAGGAAAGTTGTAACCTCTGGAGCCCACTTTGACATGTCGGTGCTCACCACGGTCTCAGCCTGGACCAAGGCCATTGTGGTTGACATGTCATACTGGCGCCAGGATTTGCGGTTCGTTGCTGGAAAGGTGATTGGAATCGGTTGCAGTGAGTTGAACATTGCATCCGGCGCCCAATAGTAGAAGAGAGTGTTGTGAGTGTGCGGGAGTCGCTCAAAAGATCCCCCTGGCCCACAGCCTGTGCCCGCACCGATTGCCAGCGGCATCTTCCACACACCTGCTTTTGTCATAATCATCTCGAAATACCACGCCACTCCCCAGGTGTAGCATGTCAGGCAAGGAATGCACACCTCGAGACACTCTTGCTTTGCTTTGTTGCTCCGTGCTCTTCACAGCCATCCGCCCTAACATGTGCTACAGCTGCATTTGTGAGGGTATGTTGAGCAGGGGTCGGGAAGGTTGGAAGGTTGGAAGCCTCAAAGCCTCTCAGACGGGCTGAGCTGAGCCGCTGCACTTTGAAACGCTGTGAGAGGCTGTGTGAGCGGCGCGCTGCTCCCTTATGCAACGTTCGCCATGTTCCCCCGCGAGAGCGCTTTTTGATGGCATCCCCCATCCCCGAGGTGTCAAGGCGTTCACTCAATGAGGTTCAGATATGTTTAGTGACAGTGTGCCATGGGAGAGGATCCTGGTGGATGCTGGTGAGGTCTTTGGACTTCCGGGATGTTGCGCAAGTTGTCAAGATCTGAGAAAAACTTACCCCTCGGGAACCGAGGCTGCTCAAGCTAAGGGGCAGAGGAATTTGAGCGACAGGAGGGTGCCAGCCACCAGTTCACTTCGTGGCATCGCGCCCGGTAGGAGCCATCCACAAGATCCAAGCCGTCGGAATCTCCTGTCTCCGTCATCACTTAGCAAGGGCTCTGCGCGTTCGTCAGTGCATGAAGCACGAGGCTAGCTACAAGGTTGTCCATACGTAAGCCTGAGGATTGCAATAGCCAAAACTCTCAAAAGTTCATCAGTACCTTGCACTACTTTCACTACTCCAATACGAGAGCACGCGCACTTGTTCTCAACACTCAATTCGGCTCCCCAACATGCTCCTGTGACTTCGATGTACTGCCTCTTGGACTCCTGGGACTCGTAGAGCACCCAATCCGCACACGGCACGAGGTCTGCAGGGTCGAAATCGCCGATCCTGGCGAAGACATTCCTGAAGCTGCCTACCGAATCTGCAGCTTCAGCTGCATATGTGCGAAAGAAGTCCAGGGAAGCGGCGTGTTCCCTGTACGCCTGGTCGAAAAGCGCCTTGGGCACGTGCAAGCCTTGGGAGAAGTCGTAGCCGTCGCCAACTCGCTCCAAGATGCCACCCACTCGCAAGCGCTGCACCTGATCGAGCTGGGCTTCGCTGTATACCACGAAGGCACCCAGCATGACGTGCATCCTCGACTCTGCGCCGTGGCAATTCCATTGTGACTCGTTTGCCTCGCATCCTGCCAAGGCATAGAACCCGTCTGGAACGCTGCGCCGTCGCTGCTGTGACACCGACGTGTTTATACCCAGCACCTCCTGGCTGAGTGTTTCAAAGATGGCGCTCATGATTAGATCCTGGGGATTCCCATTGATCCAGATTCCCAATGGGAATCTTGCAGTGTCGCTCTGAAGGAGCTTCCGAAGGCTCGGTGGCACGGCATCAGGCAAGCACTGCGCAGAGGCCCTCGCACTGTACGTGCATACAGCCAGCCATAACACCAGCCGTGCCACCGAGAGGTATCTGCACACCATCGCGGCAAGTCGAAGGCTATTTGAGCCAAAGAGCCGCTGACATCCAAGAAAGATCAAGTAAGGAAGAACCTGACATCAGCTGGAGCTGTGTTCTACGTTGCACCGCAACGCACCGCAACTCTTCCTTTGCGATGTCATCGAAGTTCCACTCCCAGAGCTGTACGTACACTGGCGACCTGCGGCACATGTCGTGAGCGACCCTTTCGATGAAGGTGTGATGTTTCGAATCTTCAATCACTGCCTAAGGCCAAAGCAGGGCAACACTGATGCAATCCTGACCCTGTGTGGCCATGCACAGACCTGCAGAACACTGGTCACATCAAGGCCTCTTCTCGGCGCCCCGGCGCCCAGCCACCGTCTCGTCGTACTCGCAAAGCTCGCTGAAGACTTCCTTGCCGCTCAAAAGGTCCAAGAAATACATAGAAATGCTGGATAGCATCAAGGCCAGGGAGTTCCACGGCTGTAACCTTTCTTGGCGACAGATTGGCAAATCTACACATCATACGCTAGTCTGGCTGGATACGCCGTCGGACCGTTGGAAATTCATCACAGTTTGCGCAACCACCTTTTCATGCAGCCTTCTCCCTAGGACCTCTGCACCTTGTCCGGGCTTCTGCCAAGCAGAGATCTGAGCTCTTTCACCGCGCTGCCTTGGAGTCGGAACTCGTCGCTGCCTCCACCAGCGCAGCTCTTGAAGGGCACCGCCAGATTTCACAGTGCCTGAATCTCCGGCACACCAAGAGGTGACAAGTGACAAGAGCAGCACTGTCCCGCACGCCGGGCAAAGTCTGGGGGCCAAAAAAGAGCCAAAGCCCTTAACAGCCCTTAATAGCCCTGAAAAAGTCCTTTAAACAGCCCTTAAAAAGCGCTCAGAAAGCCCCCAATAGCCCCGAATAGCAATTGTAGTGCTCCCGTAGCTTTGGTCTGGCCCGAAGTGGGAGCAAAGAGCCCCAAGGCTTAACAGGATCGCTCCATAGCAGAACTCTCTGAGGGGTATCCATTGAATCCGTAGGAACGACCCTCATCCCTAAACCCTAAACCCTAGACCCCAAACCCTAGGAGTCTAGATCGCTTTGCCTCCGCAGCAACTTGAGGAAGACTCGAGAGAAGTCTCTGAATATGCTTCCAAGCTGCCCGATCGAGAACACGAAGGTGTTGCCTCCCGCTAGTCACACTGAGGAGCTTACCATGGCTTGGCACTGCTTCATGCTTCGAACTGCTAAGCTAGATGCTTGGAGGTAATTCTAAATACTCTGAAGCTTGCATATGGCTTGCATGGCTTGCGTGGCTTGCCCCAATCATCGTGGCAGCGCCTGCAAGTACCCGCATCTCTCGCAGGCATGCTTGTTTTCCGGTGGTTTCCTTGGCGAGGCGTTTCTGCGGCGTTCCACTCTGCACCTTCAAGAAGTGCCCACCACCAGAAAACTTCGAGAGCAGAACCGCCCTAGTTCCCCCTGATCTGGAGACAAGTCGCCTGGCCATGCCTGACAAACTTCAAAGGCTTCATTGGGGTCTGGGTCGAGGGCGCAGGGGGCACTTGTCACGCGCGCTTTTCAAAAGATTTGATACCAGGTGTGGACCCTGAAAACAGCTCGACTCGAAAAACGATCTTCAATCGCACGCCCTGATCGCAGCTTCTTGGCCCAAGCTTTCAACTCAACACCCACTCACAACTGCTCACAATTGCTGTTTTCAGCGGCCGATTCTCGCGGAACTCTGCACCGCTCTGGCTGTCCAGCAGAGTGCAGCCCAGCCCCTGCGACAGCCTGGGAATGGTGCGTTTCGGACCCTTTGGGTTTGGTTCCTTGATGTTTCTGCCCCTCATCCCACACCCCTAGCTCATTACCTGACAATTCCGCGAAAATCCAATCCTTTCTTAAACCATATGCCCCCACGAACACTACGATATACGATCGCGCGGATGGTGTGCTTCACTGCGTCACCTTATTTGAACGAAAGCTCTTGTTTCACGAGCACATCCCCTGGCCGCGATCGACCTCACTTCTGTGTTTTTGCTGCCAGCATGAAACCCAATTGACGCTCGTCTTCGACTTGTCCTTGCGTGGTTTGGAGAACAGCCAATATCGCAAGTCGACAAATCTTGGATGAACGGCTACTCCTGAAACCACAAGATGCATGAAAAGGCACATCATGAGTCGTGAGTTCTGGAACCGTCTTTGAGCTTGCTACTGCGTCTAACACTTGTTGTCTAGCCGCAGACCGCATCCCCAACAGCGAAACAGCAGCACTGTGGGCTCAAGACTACCTGAACGCAGCGGTGCGGCCCGGAACAAAACGCTACTCAGCCAGTGAATGACCGAAAACAACGTACAGCTTCAGAAACGGTCTCATCTACATCTAATAACATCTCTTCTGCCTTAAGCATGACTGCACTTTTGGTGACTCCTGTCTGAGGCTTCCAAGCATACAGCAACAAGTTGCACAGGCCAACACAATTGAGTCTGTCGCATCGGAACGTGAGTTGTTTGACCAAGCCGAGGAACCCGGGTTCCCAGAGCATGAATCTCGGCCCTCATTGAAAAGCCCGGAAGCTTAGCAACAAGGGGGTGGGGGTGTGGAGGCCCTGAGGAGGGGGGTTTTTTGAGGAGGGACATCCGGGGCGCTCCGTTGGGACTTGGCGGGGGGGGCGGGGGGGTGCGGTTTGCGGTTTAGGGTTTAGGGTCTAGGGTGTAGGGTTTAGGGTTTAGGGTTTGCTGTAGTATGGCGTACAAGCTGCAAATCTGACGGCTTTCAGTAGAGCCTTGAAGACATCGAGCAATGCGAAGGGCGGCCATGGCGATCGTGGAGGGCCACCCAAACACCTTTCTCCCACCCCACGCCGTCTCAGGCGGCAAAACCACCCAAACCTATTCTTTTTAGGGTTTAGGCCTAAACTTAAGCCAACCGCCCACTTCCAAAAAGGGCCACCCAAACACCTTTCTCCCACCCCACGCCGTCTCAGGCGGCAAAACCACCCAAACCTATTCTTTTTAGGGTTTAGGCCTAAACTTAAGCCAACCGCCCACTTCCAAAAACTTCTTTCATTCCAGGGCGTCTCGTGCCAGGGGTCATGGTTTAGGGGTCTCGCAAGATCTTGGAATCTTGGGCTGCGCGTGAGGTCTTCGAGTCGATGTATAAAACACCAGCGGCTCGCATAAAAATCAAAGACTGCAAGCCTGAACATGGACTTGCAGGCACGAAAGCTCATTGTTTGGCTAGATGCTTCCGGAAGGACCTAAGCCGAGCCCCGAAATGCCAAAGCCTAAGACTTAAGAGCCTCCGCACGAAAACTTGCTTAAGAACCCCAGCAAAAAATGTTCTTTCTTATGAGGGAAATACAGGGATCATTGTTTTTGATTTTTTGGGGTTCTTAAGCAAGTAGTAACTCATACACTCAAGCACCATGCTTAAACGAAGACTTCCCGAGCATGCTCGATAAGGCTCAAGCGACTGCTGTTCGAGGCTTTCCCCTTAGGTTTCGAACATAGGAGAGAAATGTCGGTGCGCCATGGCTCAGCCCTTGTGGCTGCGGCTGTGCGTGCCGCGTGCGATGCAAAGGCCCCGCGCCGCACCATCGCGGCGGTTGCCGCTGCTGCTGTGTCGGCCGCGTTGCGGCCGGCTGATGCTCCGGCTGCTGCGTCAGTGATGGTCCCGGGGAATGCTGCTTGCTCCCCGAGTGCTGGTGGTGACACTGGCGCTCTGGATGATGATGCCTTGGTCCGTCGTCTGCGTCAGCGCAGTGCTGAGCGCAGGCAAAGGAAGAGGCAGCAAAGGAGGGAAGCTAAGGCTGCGGTTTCTGCTCCTGGTGCATGTGACACGTCAGCTGACGTCGAGATGGTGCCTGGGATTGAGGGGACCCACTGTAGATATTCGACTGATGTTGAGTCCGGACCGACTTCTGCGCCACCCGCGTCTTCTTTGCCCCATGAAGATCGTGCTGATGGCGGTGGTGCTAAGCGGTCTGCAAGTTCGTCGATTGTAACATTCCAGGCCCAGAGTTCCCGGACAGCTCCTGATTGGCTGCCTGCGGCGTGGCGCAACAACTTCATCGGGTACTGCGATGAGACGCCTCCTCATGGTGCTTCCTTCGACCGGCAAGGACGCCTGTGGAGTTCGAAGCCTTCGACGA